TGAAGGGGTAAATAACACTTCCTTATTCACTTTCTCTATACCATTCATGATTTTGCAGCCCTCTATCCATAGACGTCGACTCCGCGGGTGCTCTGGGACTGGAGCACCCACAGAAAAAAAATAATGGGTGCTCAGCACCCACCGGCAGCCCTGTGGATCAGCTCCTCCCTCTCCCCCACAGCCCTCCCACCCACTGGCAGCCCCGCTGATCAGCTCCTCTCTCCCATCTCCACAGCATCTCCTGCCCGCCGGTGATCACCTGGAAGAGGCAGGGGGAAAAGAGGGAAGAACGGGGCGGGAAGAGGCAGGGTAGGGGCTTAGTGGAAAGGGTGGAGTTGGGGGTGGGGCTTGGGGTAGAGCAGGGGTAAAGCACCCCCTGGGAATTCAGGGCCTCTGCCTCTCTCATATCTCCTCTTAGTCATCCGTTTTCCAAGATGAAAGGCCCAATCTTTTTAATCTCTCCTCATATGGAAGCTGTTTCATACCGTTATTCATTTTTGTTGCCCTTCTCTGCACCTCTTCCAATTCTAATATATATTTTTTGAGATGGGACGACCAGAACTGCATACAGTATTCAAGGTGTGGGCATATAATAGAATTTATATAATGGCATTGATATTTTCTGTATTATCTATATGGTTCTATGATTCTAGGAATCCCTTTTCTAATAGTTCCTAACATTCTGTTTGCTTTTTTGCCTGCTGCTGCACATTGAGTGGATGTTTTCAGGGAACTATCCCCAATGACTCCAAGATCTCTTTCTTGAGTGGTAACAGCTAATTTAGACTCCATCATTTTGTATATATAGTTGGGATTGTGTTTTCCATTGTGCATTACTTTGTATTTATTAACATTGAAAAAGTTCTCAATGAAAAAGCTCTGCTTGTGGTAGAAAAGTTTGAAAAGAAGCCCCTTACCCAACACACCTCAGACATTCTCAGAGATCTGACAAGAGTAGATTTGAACTCAAGTCAATGTGTATGGCTAAAACATGCACCCTGACTGAAGGTCACAGAGCAGCATCACTACAGCGCATGCACCAATCACTTTCTCTAGCTCAACAACCATGCTGGAACTACTGTGGAAATCTAATTTTAATCCCAAATAACAATGAAATATTGCTTCCCCAAAAGCACAGATTACTAAACACTGGCTGAATTGAAACCTGCACAGGTGACATCAACTTGGGGTGGCTCAATGCAATAGTTTGAGCCCCAGGTGAACACAAAAAAGTTATAAGACCATAAAATGTTTGTTGGGTGTAGGGTGACCAGACAGCAAGTGTGAAAAATTGGGACGGGGGTGGGGGGCAATAGGATCCCATATAAGAAAAAGACCCAAAAATCAGAATTGTCCCTATAAAATCGGGACATCTGGTCACCCTAGTTGGGTGAGAATGGCACACACTTGGGTTTGAGACACTCGAGTTTATTAATTCAAACCTTTGTTTGAACCAAAAGTATGCCTTGCATTTACAATTACTATTTCAGTAAGAAATGACAGACATACAGAAAAAGGAAATGGCCAGTTACCTTTTTCTGGGACATAGGCAGGTCACAATGGATTTTTTTTCCTACAAAGCTTTGACTACCTCTTATAATTAACCACATTTTATACACTGCCAAATTATGTATTCATTAGTTCTTTTTGCAATTACCATTATCATGAATATTACATATCTTATGCAACCTATAAAATAAGCATGCATAAACTTCAATTGGCACGACTTTTGCTGTCCTTGCTTTTTTCATGTTATGTCTCTTTTCTAATTGGTTTATTACTACTGATTACACGCTGATTATGCATATTTAACCAGGTCACTGACCCTTTTGTCTGCATAGGGCCATAGGGACTTTCCTGTTTTTCTCTACTTGCCTTTTCCCTAAATGCGTTTTGGCAGCACATTTTGTGTGTCTGTTGTCCTTCAATTTAAGCACAGTGGCCAAAACTTCCCCTTTGTCCTATACAGCAGTTATAAACAATAACAAGGTCACTAAGGCAAGGTCACTCCTGTCAAGAAGACTAGGCAGAAGCCAGCACAAATACAATCTTACTGTCCAAATTATGCATCAGACATGACCGTTATAACAATTCTCAGTAAGCTGATGTCACATGATGCTTTGGTGAGGGCTGTATCTGGGGACTCTCAAGTGCTCAAATGACCTAAATTTTGACTAACTCACTCTACACATTGCCCCAATGAGCCACAGCCAATTTTTGGGCTTGCAGAGTAAGCACAAGGGTTTTAGAGCACTTAGAAAAATCAACTGTTAAACAGTAAATTAATCTCATTCATATCTAGAGTGGTGCTGTTGCTCCACTATAATCCTTTTTCATACCACACACAATTAGTCTGTGGAATCATTGTGAAAAAGGTCATTGACACCAAGAGCGTTGTAGGATTTAAGAAGGTATTAGACATATATATGAATAGCAAGAATATCTAGAGTCGGTAGCATGGTTGGTAGTGTAACCTTTGGGTGGGCTAGAGTTCACTTCATTTTCCGTCTCCAGTTCCTAAAAAAAACCCCAACTCCCACAGAAAGTAGCTGGAGACCCAGAGTTCAGTCTCTAAGGATTTTCAGCAAGGATTGCACAGGGCCAACCTCCCCCCATTCAAGTCCCAAAAGGAACTAAAGAAATGAATTTAATTAAATAACTTTATAAAATTTTATGATAAAGAAACAAATAATAATCTAATTTTTACAGCATGACATGGCTATTTTATAATCCACAGACATTACCTTCACACAGTTCTACATAAACATAAATAAAGAAAGCAAATTAAAATCTGAATGGTTCAGTCCCCACAGAAAGAAATACAGTAAGAAGAAACTGAGAATTCCCAAAAGCTTAGGTTTTGTTCACCTAAGTCTCAGAGTCTTTGATCACCAAGATCTATACAGTCTGCTGAGTCTAAAACAACATCTTTCCTTCACTTGCTTGTAGGAATCATCAGTTGGAATCCATGCAGACTCTTCCTCTGCTGAAATCACTGCTAGCCAGTCAGCTAACAGATTAACCAGTCACTCAGTTAAGTGTATAGATTTAAAGAAAACCCTATTACAAGAAAATACAAAACTGAGAATAGCAAAATAGAAATGACTCCTTCCGCATTACTACATTTAAAGAAAAGTTGGTGACTAGTTGAGACCATTTAACTAGAACAGTGGTTCCCAAACTGGGGTTCGTGAACCCCTGGGGGTTCGCAAAATGTTACAGGGGGTTCTCAGGAAAAAATTCCCTAATGGCGGACAGAGCTGTCCCTAGGGACCCCAGGCACCATGGGGCCAGCAGCCCAGAGCCCCTGGACTTCCAAGAGCTAAGCAGATCAAAGCAAGCCTATCTATCACACTGAGGAGATTTAAACTTCAAGACTCCTTATAAGAAATGGAAAGGGAGGTGGATATTTTTTGCTGTTTTTAAAATTAAATAGGCAGCTAGTATTGTTTTTAAAATTATTATGAAGAACAAGTTTAAGCTTTGTTGTAATGTGCGTTGTTTGCCTGGACTGCTCAAGACCTGAATGCTTGTGTAGGAGGAACTCTTTAAATTGGCTTCTTAAATACCTTCATGCTTGTTTCACATCTGATACTCCTTGATGAAACATAGGAGCCTTGTCTTATAACAGGCTTATTCAAAGTGATACAAGCTACGAAAGTGCAATCTTGGAAAAGTGTTGCCGTTTTCATAATGTAATAAAAATACTGTAATGATAAATAATAATTAATAATAAATAGTGTGTAATAAGCATATCATAAAAACAAATTTTATATTTCCCAGATCACTGCTTTTATAATTTATACTCAGGTAAAGGAGAAAATCCCTGGAAATATCCATTTTTAGGAGGGGGTTCACGAGACTTGACATTTTTGTGAAAGGGGTTCACAGGTTGTTAAAGTTTGGGAACCATTGAACTAGAACATTTTGGCTAAAATCAAAACAACATTCAAAGCATACAATTAAAATAGAAGTTATTTTCCTCCTTCCAGCTTCCCCTTGCTATAATTAGCATTGCCCATACTTCCCTGTTAGAGGGTTAACAATATCACTAACCTGCTTCAGAGTTAGGGACACTAGCCTGCTTTTTGCTCCTGGGCTCAGCTTTTCCCAACTCACACAGGGCAGGTAGCCTTCTGCAAAGCAGCTGCCCTGACTACTCACCCTCATGGAGTCTGACTCCAGCAACAGGGAACCTATTGGAGCAGACCCAAAACTACCACACCCAATTCCATAAACTTCTGTATGTTGAGTGCTTAATCTGCCTAGCAACAATGACCCAGACACAGCTCACTCCTACCTCCACCAATGGGTTTCTTAAAGGGCTATCTCCCTATTAGGCACATGGGTTACAGTAGCACTGTGGTTAGTTAAGGTTGCCCAACACTGCACATTGTAAGATCCTTTTGCTATTTTTTAATAACTTTGCCAATTTTAACAGATTGGGCTGAAATTTTCTATGCCAGCCAGGTGTATGCATCAAGATAAGAATTTCTGAAAGATCCAGTTCATCTGCTCCTGAGACTGAGGTTAGGGGAAAATACATTGTTTTGCCCATGTTAAAAACATATCTTACAACTATTTTAGTGAGAAGGTCTAGTGCCTCTATGATTTGGAGTAGGGGGTTTAATATTCCACTGCTGTCAGCAAATTATCTATGAAACCCCCTTGGGGGTCTACTACTGCTACCAATTCTTCTCTTAGCTTCAGTGGCAGAAGTTTGTAGGGTTGATCAAAAGGGCAAATCTGACAACCTAGGTTGGGGGTCAACGTGGTACAATTTCTATTTGTTCAATTGTTTTTGAAAAAAATAAAATATGACATGTAAGAAAAATAAGGTTTTAAGAAAGTGAGGGTTGCACAGCTGAGGCGATGCCCCTGCTCAGGCTCCTGCGGGCACCGCTCACAGGGCACATCATGCACAGGCACACCGCACACGGGGTCGAGTGCGGATTGTACCCGCCCCAGGACTCCCTGCTCACGGCCCCACAGCCTCACACATGCAGTTACCCGCCGGCCTGCGGGGGCGCTGTGCGCAGCTCCCATCTTCCCTCGGAGGCGCCGCGTGCCGTCGTTGCGTGACGTGTGTGCGTTTGGCGCGCGCGGTGGCCCGTACTGTGGAGACTGCTGGCCGGAGCGGTGGCGGGATGGCGGGCGCGGGGCTGGTGGCGCAGGGCCTGAAGGAGGCGCTGGTGGAGACGCTGACCGGCATCCTGTGCCCGGTGCAGGGCGTGCGTGCGGCCGCAGAGGAGCAGGTGAAGGTGCTGGAGGTGACCGAGGGTGAGTCCGGGCCTTTGCCTTGCAGCACAGACCCCCCGGCACGGCCGCAGTCGGCTACCGGCCCAAGGGGAGGCTCCTCACGGTGAGGGGCAGCCAAGGCCGGGCCCCCATCTCCGGGCTGCCTCCGCCCCTATTCACCGACCTGCTTCCCAGGGCCACAGTCAATCGCTCTGCGGGGCCAGGCCCCGCCATCAGCACCTCGCACGTCCAGAGCCCGGAGCGCTGTCCCTCCGGGAGCCCCCGTCTTCGCCCAAGCGGCTCCTAGTCGGGGATGTGCCCATCACCTAGGCAGGCGTGACCGGCGGGTGGGGGCCCCAACGCCGAGCCCTGGGACTCTCTCTGTCGAGAGCCCAGGCTCCCTACTCCCTCTTCATGCAGCGTTTCCCCTTGGACCACCCTGGAGCCTCCGTCTTTTGTATAAAGTTCTGGCTAGTCTGTGTCAGAGGCACTGGCAGCTCCACTGCATCCTCATCTGCCGGAAGGGAAAAGGGGTTTCCGATCTCTTTTCCCATATGCAGAGCCTCCTGGCCGTTGAGAAGTGGGGTGCTCTGCTGCTTTTCCCTTTCTCCCTGAGTTGCTCTGAGGAGTTTGCTTCAAGCTATGTCCCCCCCCCCCCCCCAAATCTCATCTACAAGTGCCTATTTTTTTCCTATATGCAACTCTGTATGGCTTTGGACACACAAAGAACAAAGGGTTAAACTGGCTGGAAGTATTAATTTAAGAGGAAATAGTAAACGCTAAATGTGTGGAGCTTGACTAAAGAGACATGTTAAGTCTTTAAATATTTAAGCGGTGTAATTAGCACTCTTGGTTTTGCATTGTCTGACAGGGTGTAAACTAGGAGTAATGAAATTAAGAAAAGGAAAGTGTAGCTCTTATGGTTTTCCTTGTATTTTTTTTTTACTAGACTGGATTTTCCAAAAAGGATAGCCCCATCACTTGCGACTTTCATGTAATGTTTAAAAATAAAACAATATATAAAAAGTATCAGAGGGGTAGCCGTGTTAGTCTGTATCCACACACACATACACAAAAGAGGAGTCCCGTGGCAATTTATGCCTGTTCTGTAATTTTCACTCCATGCATCTGAAGAAGTGGGTTTTTACCCACAAAAGCTTATGTCCAAATAAATGTTAGTCTTTAATATAAAAAGTGTTTGTCTGTTGTACCAAGGTCTTAGGCTTCAGTGCAGAACTAGTAGACGTATTGGAATTAAATACTTGTATCGGTGCAATCAGTGTCAAGTATAAACACAGCTTTTTCCAAAGCATTACTCTACTGACATACATCAGCTTTTCCATAGTTGATTTTGGAACCAGAGAGTTTGCCTGGAAAATTGCCAATTAACTTTGAAGGCTAAGGAGAACATTTGACTTTACTGTCTTTTCTCTTTCATTATCATAAATATCTTGTTGCTATTCCTTGATATTCTCTATATAGCTTAATCTCCTTGAAACCTCATGCACTGGCAGTATTGCAGGTGATGGTGTAGGATTGTAGTTAACCAGATTTATTAATTGTTCCTGTTGTGGATACCTTTGTGGTCAGTCCTACTTCTATTGATTTCAGTGGCAATCATTGATTTTAGTGGGCACAGGTTAACATAGTATGTGTTTTCTGTGAGCATGTTGTCCTTTATTGACTGTCTGAAGGAATATAAAGGTCCTTCTCTACCTGTCAGTTTACAGAGCACTTCCCTTAGCTCCAGTGGTAGAGGCCAGTGCACCTAATGCTGTGGGAACTCTCTTTTGGCTCTACAGATGTTTGATTATGGAGAACTTGTGTATTTCTTATGGACCTTATGGAATCCATCTTTACACTCCTTATCTAAGTGCTTTCCTCACCATCTCACATTCAAAACTGTGGTACTGGTGGTTATTGCCTCCGGCAGGAGAGTTAGTGAGACTAAAGCACTAATGACTGACATCCTCCCATTTCCCTCCCCCCCCCCATATTGTCTTCCACAAGGATAAGGTGGTACTGAATTCCTCACAAGGTGGTGTCCTATTTTACTTTAAACAAAACTATCAACCTCCCCTTTTTTCCTAACTCACACTCAAACCCAAGTGGAACACATAGCAGATCACAATTTATCAACTAGCAGCATATATGCTCCTTCCTTCAAGCATCAGGGCACTCAATTAGAGCCCAGGCAACCTCCTCAGCATACCTGACAACTATTCCTGTATCAGGGTAACCACTTTGAGCTTAGCCCATACCTTTACCAAGCTTTGTGGCCTAGATTTGGTGTCTAGATCAGATGCTGTATCTGAGACCTGTTCTTCAATCCTTATTTAGCTAGGTATAGTTAGGTAGGATTTCTCAGACCTTTGTATTAATCTGGGAATTGCGAACTAGTCATAAGAGGGAACCGCACAGCCAAAGACTCAAAGAAGAAAGAATGGTCATTGTAGTTCTTCAAGATATTTTGTCTGTATGGATCCCAATGTGCTCCCTCCATTGCCACTTCCTCAGAGTTCAGATATGCTGGGATTCTGAATTAGACCTGTTCTGCGCTTAAAAATTAGATCAATCTAGCTTTGTTGCTTAGGGCTGTGAAAAATTTCACACTATGTGCAATGTAGTTAGATTGATCTAACCCCCAGCGTAGATGTAGCTAGGGTGACGGAAGAATTATTTATTTGACTTAGCTACAATCTCTTGGAGAGGTGAATTAACTTCATTGATGGAAAAACCCTTTCTGTCGATGTAGGAAGTGTCTACTCTACAGCGGTACAGCTGCATTGCCATAGCTGTGCTGCTGTAGTGTAGACATACCCTGAATAATGGAACTGAGGCGTTTGGGGCTGCTCTGCCCTACGTACCATTGGGGTTGGAGGGGGATACAAGAATATGGAAGATGCAGATGGGGCCCCAAAAGACACTGCTGGTCAAAAGATTCCCGTCTCACGCGCTGTGCTTGCATGCTTTAACTGTATCCACATGGACAAAGCACCTCAAAGAAACACAGTTACTGTAAAGAAAGTAATCATTCTTTTAAAAAAGTGTTTTTTTTAAATTGTTCCTTTTTTGAAATTCTGTGTGTTTCTAGTTCAATTTTCAGACACTTGTCATTAAAAACATCATCAGTTAGTCCTCTGAAAATGGTATGCTTCTCGTAAGGCTCAAACAACATTACATTGCTCCAAAAAGAGCTGGAATGAGATAAGTGGAACTATTGCAGCTTATTGAATAGACCTTCACTTATTTTCACCTTGGGCACCTTGAGTATCTTTTGGCAGTGACTTTTGCTCTCCTGTGCTGTGCTTTATTCCAAAACCAGCCTGTAGAGAGCCAGTGATATCATCTGTTCTGTGCGTGCATGCTTATAGACAATTACAGAAGGCAGAGGTGAGTAAGTGGTGGGACTTGGGGAGCAATCCTATAGGATGCATGTAAAGGGGTTGGAGTGGTCATGTCTGCATCACATTTACACTCTTTCTCCCAAAGTATTATTCCTCATTACCCCCTGTTAAACACCCCTCATGGCTCCCCTCCCTTTCAAAGTCCTGCTCCAGCCCAAATGAAGGATTGTCATTTTAGCCAGAGCAAGGTCCCTGTTACCTAGCACTGGGTCTTTATCAGACAAACAAGCTGACAGCTTTGCTTCTAACCTGCCTGAAGCTGCCATTCACCTCCTCCCTGTCTGACTCCATTATTTCAGATGAAAAGCAGGAGGCAAGGTGAGTGGAGAAGAGGATAATAACAGCTGTAGATGGGCCTGTAGTGGGACTCCTAGTCCTGCTCCTGAGTCAGTTTGCCAGTCTGAAGCTAGTCTAGACCTTGAGGGGGCTTGTGGGGAAAGAGTTTGGTTTCCACTGGCATAGGGGCTGCAGCGTGGGCAGTACAGGGAGATAGCCGAGAGTTAGGGCAGCCATCTTGATCCCTCCCATTCCGGCACCCCCGAAGTATTACTCTCCCTTCATAGTATTCTCAGAATAATACCTGCCCCACATAAATGGCTTAGGGGAAGCTGACTCCCCTCCTCTGCAGAACCCAGGTCCAATAGAGATCTCGCTGGACATGAGCCTCTCAGAAGAACAGCAGGTTCTTAGGCACAGGGACAGCTATCACAGTCCCTCCCTTTTACCTGCTTTTCATAGCACTGGTGGAAAGAGTCAGGCAGGAGGCAGAGAAGGTAGCAGAACTACCCCACTGCTCCTGATCTGAGTGTGCCACTGCTGTGTTTCCCCATCTGTAAGATGATGGTAGTACTTCTATTTCTCCCCTTGTCTGACTCTTGTCTAGTTAGATTGAAAACTCCTCATGGCAAGGGCTGCCTCACAGTATGTATATACAATACCTAGCACAATGTGGCCCTGATACCAGTTGAAGCCTTTAGATCAGGGGTGGCCAACCTGAGCCTGAGAAGGAGCCAGAATTTACCAATGTACATTGCCAAAGAACCACAGTAATACATCAGCAGCCTCCCTCCTTCCCCCCCCCCACTGCTCTCACTGCCTCCCCCTCACCGATCAGTGCCTCCCCCTCACTCCCTGAGCCTCCAGATCAGCTGTTTCATGGCGTGCAGGAGCGAGGGCATGGCAGGCTCAGGGGAGGGGGCTGGAAGGGGTGGAGTGGGGGCAGGGCCTGCGGCAGAGCCAGGGGTTGAGCAGCGAGCACCCCCTGGCACATTGGAAAGTTGGCACCTGTAGCTCCAGCCCCGGAGTTGGTGCCTGTACAAGGAGCCGCATATTAACGTCTGAAGAGCCGCATGTGGCTCCGGAGCCACAGGTTGGCCACCCCTGCTTTAGATGATTCTATAGTATGAATAAATAATGGGGAAAGGGTATTTTGTTCTCTCTAAGTGCCTTTTTCTACTGGAGATGGTATCTGCTAGAGCAGTATCTCTGTGGAAGTGACCACAGGCTCTGGCGCACATACTACACCTCTTCCAGAAAATAACTTACACCTTGAATTATAAGAGGGTAAAAATGCATTCACCATGTTCCTTTTACTTATTCTAATGCAAAACTCTAATGCCAATCTCATTTTTAATA